TTTGTACAATGGAGAGCAAATAGATATTATCTTTAGAAATTAAAAAAGCACATACCCATGACGCAGCAATTCTACTTCTAAGCAACCACCCTATAAATATATTTGCACACATGAAAAATGACATATATAAGGATATTCTTTACAGCATTGTTTGTATTAGCAAAATATTGGAAAGAACTGAAATGTCCATCAGTGGGAAATTAGGTATTTAAATTATTCCATTTAAATATGTATTAATATGCAAAATCTTGCAGATATGCATTTTAAGTTAATAAGAGGTGCTGAAATAGAAAGATAGATAGATGTAGTAGATAAATGGATGGAGTATTGCATATGTTGATAAGTGCATAGACTGTATCTGGGCAAATACCAAGAACGTGGCCAAGTGGTGGGTGAGGGTGGAGAGAAAGAAAATTGCTTTTGACTGTATCAGTGACTTCCAGCCAAAGAATATCAAAAACACACCCTTTGTTGAACAAAGTTGGGTTTAATGACTTGCAGCAGGGAAGAAAAATACACACGGTTGCAGAAACTGGGGTGTCTTAGTAAGAGGGTATATAAGAAAAGACTTATAAGATTTGAGGGTGTTTTAAGTGATTTTAAGGAGGGCTCAAAGAAATCTGCATTTTCCCCAGATTGAATGCTCTAACGAGGTGGGTATAATTCTATAACTAATATCTTAATAAGTCTTATCTAAAAGGCAAGGAAAACAGAGCAAAATTAAAGCTGTGTTTGATAAAGCAGCAGTGGCCACTCACATAACGTAGGCAGAGAAATATTTGATCATTTTGTAGTTTAGATAATGTTTTTGTTTTTGTCTGTGTTCAGATATGATTACAAAGTGGTCTTGCTTTTACCTTGACTCATCACGGCACAGTGTCCTTGACTGACTGTGTGAGCTGACACTGTCTATATGCAACAGAAGGACACCAAGACTTACTAGGAGTGCCAAGCCAGTTTCGTCGCTGTCAGGGATTGTTTTGCTCCTTCTAAACTGTATACCCTTCTGTGTCTTTACAATTTTGCACCATGAACTCATCGATTCAAAATCATTTTTAGAAGAATTTCAGGACTAAAGGAACTTAAAAGTCACTGAATCCTGAAACTGTCCCCATCACCACCCTGCTTCCCACTCCTACACCAATGGGGTTTTCTTGTGAGCCTCTCCCCTCACTTCAAGTGGCAAGTACAGCATCTACTTAAGTATCTCCAGTTTCGCTGTTGTACTAACTTGTCAGGCAGCC